CCAGGTCTGGGTGCCCGCGGGACCCTGCGAGCTGACACATGGGTCGCGCACGTGCCGCAGGCGGGGGCCACAGAGCCACCTTGGCCTCACGGTGCCTTGATGGAAATCTGTGCTGGGTGCAGGTGGGGGAGCAGGTCTGTGCACTGAGCCCCGCAACTGCAGGGAGGAACCCTGTGCCTCGGGCGGCGCTTCGCTTGCCTCCATTGTCCCCACCTTCTGATGAGGGCTTTGAACCAGGGCAACTTGGGGCAGATCTAGATTCTACTTTATATTTTCATAAGTCCAAGACCCACTGCCCCCCTCCTTAAATAGCATTTTGCTTTTAGAGAATCCTTATATCACCCCCTTCGATGGCAAACCAGCATCATTTGCCATAAATTGAAGGTAAGGGTAAAAATAAGCAGGATGAAAAGCAAAGCAAGGTTTCCAGGATGGCGCAGGAAACTGGACTGCTGGGCAGGAGAGGCCCCCCGGAGGGCAGGTGCCTGGAGGTGTTAAAGCCCTATGAGCCCCATCCTGGCTTTCCTTCAAGTCACCAGAGGCTTGAAAGAGGAGAGGACACTGGGACACTGGGTGGAGGGACTTGATACTGTATCTGACTGTATTTTGTACCCCCCAGGACACTGTCCCTCACTTCTAGAACCCTGGACCCCCCTCCCAGACCTAGTCCCCCACCTGATGATAGGCATAAGGGCCTTGGGGACAGCCAGCTGAAGGCTCATCGCCTCCCGGTGAGAGATACTCTCATCAAGCCCTGCCTGTCGCCACCTAAATAGTAGCCCTGGGCCAGTCAGGGAATCCTCTGGGTCTTGAGTCACCTGCACGCAGGCGTGATCAGTCCAGAGTGCCAAGTGCTTGAGCTTTGGGCGTGCAGAGTGGTTTGTGCTCCTGGGTGGCCTTGAGAGTCTCCGGGCAGTGAAGCAGAGAAGGTGGGGCAGGTGGAGACGGAGGCGAAAGGTGCAGGCTTTGCACCACTTCATCCCTCTAAAGGAGAATGTGACACGGAGGCCAGGAGAGGCTGAGGGGTGTGGCCAAGGTCACCCCGGGAACAGGTGCCCTGATCCAGTGTTCTTTCCATACCCAGACTTTGCTCCTAGGCGCTCACTGGCTTCTGCCCAGGGCGGTTGTGCTCAGCCTGATCCACAAGAGCTGAGGCTCAGCTGGCCTCGAACTTGGCACTGAAGGTGATCAGGGTGGCATGTTTTACCTGGCAGGCTGGCTGGGGAGCACTCAGGCCACTCAACCAGCTCCCTGCCTCCACCCACACGCAGCCCGCTCTGAGTTGATCCAGGAAGCCCATCACCTGCTGTCTCCGCCGAACCCTCTGTCCTGAGTGGGTCACGCTCCACTGACCGTATCCCTACCTGAGCCCCAGAAGACCCAGCTGGCCTGCTCCTGCCCCCCCTGCAGCACCGATGGGCGGCGCAGGAGCAGTTGTGTGCTGGGAGGGGCTCCGGGATGCACCAAGGGACACGGCATCTCCCGCGAGTTCCCGCTGTCTCATTGGCCTGCTGTCCGGAGTTTTAGTTGCAGAGTCTCCTTTACTGGGCTCCTGTCACCCCTTTCTCCCATAACCCATAGCCAGCCACTTTCACCTATTTCTAGAAGTGCCACCTCTGCACAGAGCTTCCCGGGGCTCCCACTGCTTGGCAGCCTTAGCCCAGCACGCCAGGCCTGCAGCCTGATCTGACTCCCGCTGTCTGCCACTGCCAGCCTGCATTTCAGCCTCTCAGGCCTGGGCGGTTCCTCCTAGGACCTTGGGCATGCTGGCCCATCTCTGAGAGATTTCTTCTCCTCTGCCTCCAAGGATTTAACTCCAGATGTGGCAGGCACATCTGCACAACCACCAACACATCCTTTAAACACGCCTCTCTGTGAATTTCATCCTTTGGGCTCTCGAGAAGACAAGATGGGTCCTTGCACTGCAGGGGACTGTCCTTTAAGCCTTCGTTCCTTCACCTGTGAAATGGTGTTACCTGTGGGGTGCTGGCAAAATAAAATATACTGTAAACCCCCTTGGGGGCCACCCTTTCCTTGGGTTCCCTGCACTGGTGTCCCGGCCTCACACAGGGTGTGACCCCAGCCTCATCACACCCATCAGCACGTGAGCTCCCTGGGGCGGGGACGGAGCCTGATTCACCGCCGTATTCCCACATTATTAAGGGCAGCATCTCACACATTGTGAGTTTTTAATTAATGCTTATTGAATTGTGCTCAGCCGAACAGCCTCCGGAGCAGAAGAAAAGCACAAGCTTTCCTTGGAGATGAGGGGGAGGAGAGGCAGCCATGCAACGCTGAGTTTTGCTCGGTCCTCCGAAGGGCCCCACTCACAGAGAAGGAAACTAAGGCAAGCAGGGCTGTTCAAAGCCAGGCAGCCCAGGAGGGGCGGGGCTGGGATGTAGGGGGATTTCTCCCTAGGGAAATAAGGCACTTGCCAGTCAAGACACAGACCCGGCATCTTTTCTAGAAGAGCGGCTTCTATCCCTGATGGGGCCAGCCAGTCACGGCCCCAGTGATGACCAAGCCCGGACTCCCCCTGCGAGTTGAGTGTTCCGAGGCTGGGACAGGTGTGCTCACCGCTCAGAGCTCCCCCCGGTGAGTAGTTCTCAACACGGTCCCTGGACCTGCAGCTTAGCAGCATCTGAGCTGGAAGAAATGCAGGTTCCAGAGTCCACGCGTGAAACCCACTGAATCGGAGACTTGGAGGTGGGGCTTCCAAGCCCCCCAGCCGTTCCGAAGCCAATATGGGGGCACACTGGCATCAAAATTAGAGTTGGCTGAGTCTTAGAGGTTATTTGGTCAAGAGAGAGTTGTAGCATGCCCACACACGCCCCATGCCAGCGGCAGGCTACTTCTGACTCCTGGCTCCTTCGTGCTGAATGCACCCTGCGGGGCTGCTCGAGCCCTGACTCCCTGGCCCTGGCCTGCCTTGGCATCTGAATCCACCCCTAGTCCCTGGCACAAGTCACAGGGTCACCAGCTGCACAGGTCCAGCTGGCTGAGGGGCACCGGGCCGGGCACTGGGGCAGAGAAGAGCCCTAGAGAAGAGTGGACGGGCACTGGGCCCGGTATCGCAGGACCTTCTCAGACATCCCTGGAGGTGGCACATGGCAGAGCAGGGCCCCGGGTCACCTGCCTGCTTCTGCAGCCACACAGATGCTCCTGCCCGCCCCTCCCTAGCGTCACAACCCCGGCAGACCCCACCCGTCAGGAGCCTGCACCCTAACCCCAGCTGGACCAGGAGTTTTCCATCCCCCTCTGGTCCTCATGTCCCAGCACTGTCCCTCCTCGCCTCTGAGGTGCTGACCCAGAAGACCCACTAGAAGCCGCCTGAGGTTGCCAGGCTGCTACACCCAAGGCGTTGCACAGACTCCTGGTTTTCTTCCAGGCATCTAGTCTCCCACCCTGATGCTCCCTTCCCTGCCGTGAGCATCACCCTGCAGAGATGCCTCTCCCAAAGTCCTGCCAGCCAAAGTCAGACCTCGCTTTGAAAGCCACCGCGGGAACTCTTGCTACCCAGGCTCAGGACCCCGCAGATGTGGGGGACGTGGGCACCCCACGCCCTCTGACCTTGATGTTCTGATCAACATCCAGATAGATTTGGAAAACAGGCTGTTTATGGCCTGTGTGTCCTCGCCTCCTTGAGCATGG